GAAGGATCACCAGCAACTTGAGGAGGAGAACCTGGAGCAGCGACGTGCGTTGGAGACCCTACGGCCAGCTGCCGCTCGCCTGGCTCAATTACAGCAGGAACATGCCGAACTAGAGCGGGAACATGAGGAGATGTGCCGCACGCTGGAGGAGCTCCGCTCCCAAGCCAAGAGAAGCGAAAGACTGGAAATAAACTGCAGCAGCCTGAGCCAGGAAAACCAACGGCTCCAGCAGACCCTGGACAACAGCGCCACCAAGATTCAAGGTCTGGAGGGCGAGCTGAGGCAGAATGAGGCAGAGATGAAAGATCTGCGGCGAGAGTTGGAGGGGTTGAGGCAGATGGTGTCATGGGCAGAAGCAGTGGAGAAAGAGAAGAGAGGAATGGAGCAGGAATTGGGCCAGGTGGAGAAGGAGAAGAAGCAGCTGGAGAAGGAGACACGTAGGTTGAGGCAGCAGTTGGAGGTGAAGGAGACAGCGCTGGAAGAGAACTGCCTCAGGCTGGCTAGCATGGAGAAAGAAAGCACGGCTCTCAATAAAGAGTTGGGCCGCCTTAAAGAGGCTGCAGGGAGATATAAAGAGCTGGAGAGAGAGAACAAAGACCTGCAAAAACAGGCCACCATTGATAAGAAGACTCTGGCCACACTAAGAGAGGTATGACACATTTAGAATGAGTCAATCACATATAAGATAGCCCATAAGGAAAAAAGGAATCTTGGTCACATTTTATTTTAAGGTCCAATTCTCGCTATTAACAAACCATTAACTGCAACTTCTGCCTCAATAAACTCCTAATTTGCTGCTTATTAATAGTTAGTTAGCTAGTTGTTAAGTTTAGGTATTGGGTAGGATTAGGGATGTAGAATATGGTCATGCAGAATATGTGCTTTATACGTGCTAATAAACAGCCAATATGTTAATAATAGGCATGCTAATAAGCAACTAGTTAATAGTGAGAATTGGTCCCTATACTAAAATGTTACCAAAATCTTTCAAAAATGTTATTTGAAGTGCACCAAGTTCTCTTTGTATTCATATGGTTTTGAAAAAAAAAAATGCTATTTTCAAGAAAAGTTTAAATTAAATGACTTTAAAATGTAAAGTGGTGTAACCATCAAGTAAAAATTAATCATTATTTTAAATATATATATATATACATAAAAAGGTCAGATTATCTGATATATTAAAGTCACAATGTATCGTTAATGACAGATAATTTCTTCCGTATTATGTTGTAAATCAGAGTGAAACAGATTATCAGTGTGGTGTTGATTGGATGGAGGCAGATCTGAATGCAAGCTTGCAGTTGATTTTAAAATAGGGGGCAGGATTTAGGTAGACTAAATGATTGGAGAAGTCTGTCATTTGTCACCAAAGACCAATTATGTCTATTTACTGGAAGATCAAATGATGACGTTTTGATTAAACATTTGGTATTTTTAATCTTTAAATGTATTAATTTGGTAAGTACATATTTTGTTGAGCAGGAGCTGGTGAACGAGAAACTGAGGGTGCAGCAGCAGTGTAATGAACTGGAGAAGCTGAGCCACGAGCTGGAGAAGATCGGCTTGAACCGAGAGAAACTCCTACAGGAAGAACACAGCTGTGAAGACAAGTGAGTGAGATTTGTTATTAAGAAAATTATTAGTCATATCTTTTATCAGGTTTAGAGTTCATTGCTAGTCTGTAAGTACAAAGTGTTATAAGATCCTATAAAGTGTCTTGTTTATTTTATGTGAACGCTGCCCTCTGAAAGGTGTAGCAGGTGAGGTGTTGCTAAAGATGTAGATGTATTTGTTTCTGTCTCAAATACTTTACACCATCTCCACTTGTCTCCACTCTATCTGTTTTCCTCTTGCGGAAAGTGTTGGGATTAACACGTCATGAGTAACATTAGGATTATTTTTTGCAAGTGAGGATAAAGTAACACATTACATTTTGAATGTACACTAAACAAAAAGTGAGAAAGTGTAATGTATAACAAACACACTACCTCCCATGTGCTAAATGAGTTTTATTAGGAGCGTTATGCAATAATGTAAGAATTTTGAAAAGTAGAGTTTCCCCAACGCTGTTCATTGCCTTATAATCAGAGTCATAGTGCATGCTATCTTTACTATTGTGTGTTGCGGTGTTGTAAGCTCTTTACATTATTGTGGTGAGAAGGAGGTTTGCTGTGTCTGTAGTGGTGTGTTTATAATCATTTCTTTCATATTGAGGCCACAGTATGAAGTAATTACAGGCCTGACTCCAGTTTGATTAGTTTTCACTGGAATGTTCCCTATAGAGGGTTCAGTAGTGAAGTATTCATCTTTCTCTGTAAGGAAGTAGACTCACTCCCTCTCTCCCCCACCTCTAACCCTTTATTGCGGTGAGTGTGACATGTGACAAGTATTTGTAAGTTAGATCAAAAGAAACAAACGTGAGTGAATGTGTGCTGAAACATTTCTCACCAGCTAATAGTATCATAAAATGCTAGCTGTCACGAATCACTTAATGTTTGAAGACGTTTGCTACTAACAGTCACATTCCACTGTGCTTAGTAATCCATCCAAGAGAGTGTCTGTGCGTGCATGCATTTTTCTGTTATGAATAATATTAAATTGTTCCTTTATCTATTGTAGTGTTGATATTGTTAACTAAAACGATTATAATTGGTTTGTTGAAAATCAAATAAAATGTAAATATTAGATTAAAAAAAACATAGAAAATGAAATTTTAAGTTAAAGTACTAAAATGACTGACAACAAAAAAAATTAATAAAAGTGACAATCTTATAACAAAATTAGTAAAACTGAAAATACAATTTAAAGCCAATTTAAAATACTAATAATAAATACTATAATAGTATATAAATAATACAATGGACATGTTTTGCCATTTTTTAATTAAACTTCCTTAAAAGACTTTAAATACTCACTAGTTTATTAGTCTGCTGATATTATCCAACAGTAAAAATTCACTTTTGCGTTATTTCAAAAAAATTCAATTTCACTCAGATCTGAAATCAGCATTTGTTCTATGGTGGAAATAACATTTTTATTTTATTTTTTTTAAATGACCTACTTTGTCTTACTAAACCTAGTTTTATTGCTAGTGTTTTAATGTATCCTAAAGATACACAATTCAATATTTTTATGTGTTTGTCATATCTATACAAAATTACAGCTTAATTAGAAATGACCTTGATAGAAAAAGCTTCATTAGAGGACTATGCCAGAACTAAGGGACAGTCATAATATGTGTAAAAAATTAATGTTACCCATTTCCACACAATAATTTATAATGGTTTGTTTATTTCATTTAACTTCTTTGTTTAGAGTTTGTTATATATCTGAAACAAGGGTCATGAAAAAAAACTGTTTATTGCTAAGGTTGATGTAATGATTGATGCTCACGCAGGTTGAACATTGTAATATAATGACATTCCACT